TCAGGCAAGCGCAAGTGCAGGCTGCAGCGAGGGAGGAGTACGACCAAATTTGAGTCAGGAGGCGGGCGCTTGAAACGTTTCGACGGTGACGTCAGACGCATTGAGCACGACTCCGCAGTTAGCGGATCAACTATCCACTACCGAAAAGGCATGCGATAGAGGCGCGTTAGAAATGTGTAAAACGGAACACTCGCAAAATATTAACATCGAAGACGGGCAAAAAGTGGTATATCGTAAAAAACAAAACATATATCGTTTCGTGGAAAAGTCGGAAATAGCACGAGACTTATAATGCACCTTCAGAGCTGCCGATAAGAAAATTCCTACGTTTATTACGAATGTGCATGTCTCGGCAACAGAAAAATACATAACTAACCATATTTATAATAAGACAAATGAAATAGTGACTCTAGAGGAAATAAATATGAAAGTGGAACGAGGACACAAAGCATATAATATTTAATATCTGAGGCTAATTTATCGAGATTCATGGACGAAACGCTATGGCCCGAAGGTGTAATTTTCCGACGTTTTATAAACTTTAAATACAGAAAAACGAACGTTGCAAGTTCTGCCAACGTAGACGGTTCAAACAAACTAAATAATGGGTAGTTTTCCATTTAGACTTGCCACTTTTAATTGTAAAAATATAAAAAGATCAATAGACGATGTCCGATTACAATGCGGTTCGTGTGATGTGGTGTGTCTTCAGAAAACGGCACCATTGACAGCGGTTTCGGATACACGGTGACATCAGCGATGGATACGTCAACGGGCATCCTTAGAGGACGTCCGTATAGGGGAACTGCAGTGTTGTGGAGATATAGTGCGTTTCAGCAAGTGTTGGTATTACAGTGCAATAAAAGGCATATTTGGGGTATAAAAATTATAACATGTGATAGACCTATCATCGTAATGAGTGTCTATATGCCAACAAATTCGGTAGATAATTTACCAGAATTTATAAACTGTTTAAGTGTGGTGAGTGCGATTGTTGACGAAGACGGAATTGATGTTGTATTTATTTTGGGAGACTTTAATGCGCAGCCGGGTGAGTAAACAAATCAATTAACTTATTAATATGTGTAATAACCAACTATGGTCATGTATAGATACAGAGATATTAGGGTTAAACTCGGGAAATTTTACTTTTATTAGTGATGTGTTCGGGACGCATTCGGCTACGAGAAAGCAGTCTGTAATTAATGTCAATGTATGACAGTCAATAGCTAGACCACTTCCCGCTGATTATACATTGCGACTTAAAATTATTAACCACTAAAATATTGCCTAAAATGAATAACGCTAATAAAGATATATTATGGGGTGAAAGGAGTACTGAACAAATCTCTATGAATACCAATGATTATCATAAGAGACTAAGATTGATTGACTTTCCTTTGGATTGTGTGAGCTGTGCTGATCGTGCTTGTAATGACCGTGGCCACTGGCGTACTCTAGAAAGCTTTACACCGACATTGTGACCGCCTTTCGTGGCACAGCGGTGGCAAGTCGTAGAAGCAGGAGAGGAAGGGGTGGGAGTGGCTCGCGTGTAGTGGGTTAGAACAAACACGTTGGCGCGGCTCATGGGGAGGCTAAGTATAAGTTCCATGAATGAGTGATGTGCGGAAAGCCAAAGTCGGGTCCTGTTTACCAAGAAATATGTGAAATCAGAGGAATTTTCAAATCCAGATTTAAGTGGTGCCAAGACAAACATTCAAAGGGGAACTTTAAGGGCTACTGGAAAAATAATAGTAAAATTAATATACGACCTAGCCTTCCTGTAAGCGTTTACGACGTAAACGACCCCAATGTCATCGCAAATGTCTTTAGGGACATTTTTTCTATTAAATCGCCACTGGGCCCGGCTGGGGGGGGGGGGGGAGTGCGTGAGCCATTCTTACTTGCCAGCCGATTTTATGAGGAAAGTTGTAGTATCTGTAGTGAAAAACATAACTGGTGATCTTACCGACAAAAGTAACTACAGGCCTATCTCCCTTACCACTGTCATAGCAAAGTTAAACAAACACGTAAAGCTTAGTGATAACCAGTTCGGTTTTCGACCGCAGCTGTCGACAGAAAGTGCAATATTGTGTTTTAAGCATACCGTTAAATACTCGTACCTCAAACCACAAGACGCCCGTATACGATTGTTTCCTCAACTTATCTATCGCTTTTTATTTACTTCGATACCGAATTATAAATAAATAAATACTTCGAACCGTTTATTTAATAAACTGAAAAGTATCAACTTATCCTAGGAACTCATCAGCGTGTTCTAGTACTGGTATTCACACCAATTTAACATCGTGCGTTGGGCGGGTTCAGTGTCGGATCCGTATCAGCTCGAATGTGGAGTCAAGCAAGGCGGACTAACATCTCCGACACTTTTCAATTTATATATGAACGATTTGATCGACGCTCTCAACAGCCAGCGCGTCGGATGCCATATTGACGTCGTCTGTGTTAGCAATCTGAGTTACGCTGACGACATGGTTTTGCTGAGTGCATCGATCTGTGGACTAAGGAAACTGATACGCATTTGTGAAGAGTATGCAAGTGCACACGGTCTAAAGTACAATGTGAAGAAAAGTAAATGCATAGTCTTTAAGGCAGGTACCAAATGTCCCCAGGATTTACCACCAGTATTATTGAATAGTGTGCCCCTAGAGGTTGTCAATCAATTTAAGTATCTGGGACGTCTAATCACTAATGACCTCAAGGACAATGCGGACATTGAGCGGGAGCGGAGAGCGTTGTCCATTAGAGCTAATATGATAGCCCGCAGATTTGCGCGATTCTCACAGGAGGTAAAAATTGCACCATTTAGAGCTTATATTACATCACTCTATACATCCAGCCTGTGGGGAGACTATAATAGGGGAAGTTACAATGATCTCCGCATCCTCAATAACGCTTTCAGGGTGATCTTGGGGCTGCCCCGCTTCTGCATTGCCTCTGGAATATTTGCGGAGGCGCGCACTGCCGGCTTTCATGCGACCATGCGTAAGCGGTGTGCGTCACTGGTGCGCAGAGTGCGGGCCAGCTCCAATATTATCCTGAAAATGATAGGTGAATTGCTGCGACAAACATGCCCTAGTAATTGTGGGAGCGAGAAGGTATTATTAATAATTATACATAATTTGTATTTATTGTATTCTGATTCTAATGTACTTTATTTGTATTTCAATGTATTATAATTTTATTTTAATGACATATTATTATTCTTATTATCAATTAATCAATTTTTTTCAATGATATGAAACTTATGTTATCTGAAATAAATTAATTTGAATTTGAATTCGAATTTAATAAGCGGAATCAGAATGTTTAACCATTTATCTATATACATTAAATCATAAGAGAGCCTACGATTTAAAAAAAGCTAAAAGAATGCTTATTATCAAAAATTTTCTATAATTTAGATGAATTTTTTGGAAGTAATTATTGATTTATCGTAGTACTTTATTTTATTTTTTATTATATTTTACGTCCGAAATGGACAAACTGTTGTAACTATACTCTGTATTTGTAAGACCTCATGTACACATTTATGACAATAAATTATTTTCTTATGTTATCTTATCTTATCTAACTATACAGTTTGGATACTACATCTGAAGTAAACGAGGTATTATACGGCCATCTGTCGGAAGACATCAGATTTTTTGCAAACTATACCCATAGTTGCCTCTTACGAAATCCATGGGATAAAATGTGAAGAGTTTTTTCTCTTATGCCGCACTTACATGCCAACTTCGACTGTACTGTGTGTATAACACTAGTTCTGTAAGGAATTTGAAACAACTTTGTACAGCTCAATGACACTTTTCGGCCATGTATGAGGCACCGAGTCGAATGCCTTTTTGTAGTCTGTCCAGGCGACGGAGAAGTTCTGCCGGTTGCGTTTAATCACCTTGCCAATGACCTTCCTTGGTTCCACGACCACCACTCCAACATCTATTTTGTGCGCGCGACATCACCTGATTTGAGTTCAGGTGACGAGTGATTCTCGCGCTCAAAATGGATGTGACTTGCTTGTGTATAGTGGCTAGATGCGTGATGGGGCGGTATTTGCTTAGGTTTATGGAATTCTGGTCTTTTGGAACCAAATGAGTGACCCCAATGGTGAAGTAGTAGTATTAAAGTAGTACTGAAGAGGCTTGGGAGTGACTTCTGGTCGAGAGCCTCTTGGAATTGTCGGGCGAGCACAGCGTGACACACCACGAACCCCTTCAGCCAGTAGTGATGCAGCCCGTCGAGCTCCGGACTTTCCCAGTTCGGAGCTCTTCGGACCGCCTTAAGTACATCGTCCGGCGTTATGATGACGGGGTTCATGGGCTTAATAAAATATATGTGATCAGGTAAACAGAATATTAATCCTTCCCAAGAATCTTTCCAAATGTTAGTTATAGGCGGTTAGTAATATTTATAGCGTGATCGCCTTAGTTAGCACCGTTATTTACTTTGTATTTGCTTAGTAACTTAGTTTTTTTAGGTGTCTCTTGGAAGAATGAATATTCACCCAGAGCAAATTTAATACGCGCTTCCACACATTTATTATTATTAACAACGTTTTAGGCTGCGCCGTAGTTAGGAAAAGTTGGATTATAGATTCAATTAAAATTTTAGAAAATATGCCATAAAAATGTCATACAACTTGGTAGCAATAACGTGGTAGAGCCATGCTGCAGCTATATTATGGTTGTAGCACGAATGGGTCAGCTCGCCCGGGTAAGGACCACGCTCTCACATAATACCAGCGTCAAATAGTAGCTCAATGCTGCTGTGTTTGTATGTTGAGTATAGAGAACCGGAACCCATTTTTACTGGAAACGAGGTATTCCATTCTTAGTCCTCAAGGATGGCAACGCATCTGCATTTTTATTCTAGGATAAATTTATATGTCTATTAGCCACAACGTCCACTTACCATCAAATAAATCGTATGCTCGTTTGTTTTCCATATTCTATAAAAAAATAATGCAAAACAATGTTTAACTACATATGACTTTCTTTATTTCTTGTTTCCAGTTGTAACTGAAATCCATCCGAATCTCGTAACATGATGTCACACTTGACAGTAAACGGTGTCTGCAAATCAGCTTCACATGACATCGCCTTTGGAAGGAACTTGTAGTTTCTCAGCAACGTAGCTAACACCGTCTTCATGGACATCATCGCGTACTGATAACCTGAAGAAGTTGTAAAATAAATATTATTCTGTATTGTATGAAATTTTGTATGTATGGAAAAATAAACATGTTGCGAGAATAAAGTACGCCGTATTGGGACAACGTTGCAGACTCAACTTTTCTCTAAACAACTTCTCCGATTTCTATCGATCTGCCATTCGAGAGAATTCGGTACCTGTTTAGATTTCAAGTCTATAGGCAAAGTCGGTAATCGAGAACGGCGTTTGTACCGAACGGCTCCCTTTTCATATTGGGATTTTTATTTTAAAGTTTAGGTACTGCGGTCATAAAAACAAACTTTTAAAAAAGGTGAAAAAATATGTTAACTTACCAAGACAGTTTCGTGGACCATTGCTGAAGGGCATGAAAGCGTAAGGGTGATATGTGCGGCCGTTCAAGAAACGATTAGGTTGAAACTTTTCGGCATCAGGACCCCAGTACTTAGGGTTACGGTGCATCGCCCATATACTTACGACGACCCCAGTTTTTTTAACCAATGTGACGCCTGACGCTAAACAAAATATACTCGTTAAATTTATTCTACAGGCAATTTCTTAATTGTTATAAGAAATAAGTTTCTTAATTAAAAAAAAATTTACGACCTATCAACGCTACTTTTGCAAATACTTCTTTTTTTTCATCCAAGTTCTTCTTCGTAGGTTGATTTGTTATAATTATCAATTACTTATACAGACTGTGACGCAAAATACGGTTTAGTGGAAAATAGTTGCAGAAGTTCATGAGTATGCCATTCCCATTTTTATATAAATAAGACTGGCGAACGAGGTCCAACTGATAGTAAAAGAATAATGTAGCTTATAAACCCCTACGAGTACATCTGTTCTAGTTATATTTTAAATCTGGTATAATATACCAGATGGTTACTCCGCCATTAGAAGCTGTAAGATAATTTTGGTAGTCCCACTATACGACATTATAATTGTAAATTAAAACATTTGTTTTAATTCATCAATCAGTTGGCGATTGTTATCAATAAGGCAAGCGAGGTAATAGCGGCTACTGCGTTATATTTAAAAAGTGCCTAGCTCAGTTTATAGTAATTCAGGGTTCCGTAATATGTCTATTAACTACTATATCATCCCATGAGTGTCAATAGAGGCAACAAGGGGAAGCTGAAACAAGAAATGGCTTCTTCTTGATCACAACTCAAAATTTTAAAAACAAACTGCGGTTGACAACCCGCCCGCCAACTGTAGCCACTATGGCAAAAATGGCTGGATAGGAGAGAACTATGTTCAGCAGCAGACTTTTATAGACTGATAAATGAACGGATTATTTCAATTGATTTCATTGATACTTACGAAGTGTTAAATCTTTCTCAACTTTCCTGACAATATGAGGTACTGGTGGATATAGCCTCAACGTCTCCTTAATAACAGCTTCCAAGTATTTGAGTTTCGGAAGGTCATCTGCCAGAACAGGTCTATCACTATCCCCGAAGATTTCAAATAACCTATAAACATTTTGCTTTATTTACTTGTATAGAAAGTTTTCCGTCAAACTTAAAAAGTCATAATTAATCTATGAGAAAATTTAACTTGAGCCCTCATCCCTTACCATTAGAACCCATTACAAATCGTACACACAAAGTTCGGTCCTGGTATTCTATAGTCAATGATATTCTATAATTTAAATTAGATTCAGATGTTTTGTAAACTAGAGTTGGATTTTATATCAGGTGGACTGTGGAAAGAGAGTAAAAAAAAATACAAAACGCATTGATCGGAATGAATAATTATGAAAGAGGGTGCTGACAGAATAACAGCAATATAAATTCTTTGCAACACATAAGTGTTTGATCATAACCAATGTTTGTTAATAAAGAGTTAACAAACAGTTATTTGGAATATTAAGGAAACATTCCATTATAATTCATATAAATATATATTCAATGTTATTGTAAAATTGTATGTGTAAAAATCGATGGACTTCTTGCTGGTTCTTCTCAGCTGTAATATTTTCCAAACCATAAAGAATTTCAATAAGTATTGTGTGAATAAATCACATTGAATATGATATAAAAGTCCACCTTTTATGGATTATGTTTTCTATATTTTTTTTTTAGTTTGAGATATCTTTATTTCTCATAAGAATTTACAACAATTCACTTAAATGAGAAAGTTTAAATACTTGCAAACAAATAATAATCTTATCCTAGGCGTACACTAATATATCGAAATCATTTCACTCAAACACGTTCAAATCGTAAGTATACATTTTAAATAATTTTAATTCTAAGTATAAACAAAATACAATGTAGATTAACAGGGTACTTGTAAAAAAACTAACATAAATAAGGAGCAAACAATGCTTGGACGCGCACCTTACTCAGATCGAGCGTAGCTAGAAGTGACGTGTGAAATAGTGAAACTAAGGTGCGCTCAGATTAGATGTTAAATAATATTTTAAGTGCTTTCTAAAAGTTGGCATTGATTTTGCTTCTTTAATATTTTTCGGTAATTGGTTATACAATTTTGCACCTTCGTACATTAAATTTTTTTTACCATAATTAGTTCTTGGGGTTAAGAGGCAAAGGTCGTTTACACGTCTTAGTCTAATTTTTTGTATTTGTTGTTTCTTTGTGAATGTTATTTGAGTATGTATGTCTTTATTTAATATTTTTCTTATTAATATACAAGTTTTATATATATATATGTTTGAGTTATATTTAATAATTTTGTTTCTTTATATAGTAGATTTGTTGGTGTGAGGAAATCATATTTAAACAAGGTTTTAATTAATTTATTTTGTGACCTTTGTAGTGGTTCTAGATTTGTTTTTGCAGCAGTGCCCCAAATTTCAGTCAAGTATTCTAAATGCGGTTTTATGAGAGAGTTATATATATTATATCGAATTCGGTGCGGTAAACATGTAGTCATACCCCGTAGGGCTCCAGAAAGAGAAGTTAATTTTGTTTTAATTTTAGAAATATGTGGTTTCCATGTTAAATGCGAGTCTAAGATCACTCCAAGATATTTATGTTCATCAACTTTATTTATAATTTGATTATTTATTTTCAATGGTGTATAATGTGATATTTTTTTGTTTTTTGCTGTAAATAACATATAGTTTGTTTTTGATATATTTATAGTTAGCCGATTGCATTGAAACCAGATATTTAGAAGATCTAAGTCATTTTGTGCGTCTTTAATAACAGAGTCTATAGAATGGCCAAAGTAGAATAGAGTGGTATCATCGGCGTATAACGTTATGTCTCCCTTAAGCCCGAGATCTTTTATATTATTTATATATATAAGAAACAAGAGGGGCCCCAGAATCGAACCCTGAGGTATACCACAAGGCACAACCCTGGGTCCACTCTGTGATTCACCGATCTTAACCACTTGCCGACGATTAGTGAGGTAAGATCTGAGTATCTCATTAGCGGTTCCCGTAATGCCAATGTCAGATAGTTTCTTTAATAATATGTCGTGACTAATTGTATCAAAGGCCTTCTTTAAATCTATGAAGACTCCTAGTGCTATTTGTTTTTTATCAATGTTGAGTTTCACTTTAGTTATAAGGTCTATTGTAGCTGACAGTGTGTTAGATTTCGGTTTGAAGCCATACTGCTGCTTGTAAAAGAAGTTCTGTGCAGATAGGTAGGTTTCAAGACGTTTATATAATAGTTTTTCATAAATTTTTGACATTACGGGAAGAACAGATATTGGGCGGTATTTGCCAGGTTCCGACTTAGTCCCAGATTTAAATATAGGTGTCACTTTAGCCATCTTTAGACTATCGGGGAAAGTGCCATTTTCCAGATTATTATTTATGCAATTTGTAAGTTCAGGAAGGATGAGGTGTTTCACGCATTTTATTGATTTGCTATTAACCCCATCTAATCCGGAACTAGTATTTGTGCTTAAGCTATCTATTAACTTGGCAATTTCTTCCGTTGTACATGGTTGTAACTGTGTTAGTGCGATTGTGTCAGCAGTATTTGCTCCAATTGTATACGTTAAATTATTATGAAAATTTGTTGGTATTTGACTATTTAAGATCAGGCCCACATTAGAAAAAAAGTCATTGAATTGTTCACAGATAGTATTTTGATCGGTTATGTTTTTTTTTTTTTTTTTTTTTTTATAGGAGAGGGGGCAAACGAGCATGCGGCTCACCTGATGGTAAGTGACTACCGCCGCCCATGAACAACCGCAACACCAGTGGAATTGCAGATGCGTTGCCGGCCTTTTAAAAAGGAGTAGGCTCTTTTCTTGAAGGTCCCTAAGTCGTATCGGTCCGGAAAAATCCCTGGTGGTAAACTATTCCACAAGGAAGTTGTGCGAGGAAGAAAACATCTTCTAAATCGCACAGTGGTGGACCGCCAATCATCCAGATGGTGTGGATGGTATCGGGAGTTCTGCCGCGATGTGCGTTCGTGAAATTTGGCGGCTGGGATTAATCCGAACAATTCCTCAGAGCACTCCCCATGGTAGATGCGAAAGAAAATGCAAAGAGATGCAACATCTCTTCGCAGTGCCAATGAATCGAGCCGATCGGAAAGGGCTCGGTCGTCGACGATTCGAGCCGCTCTGCGCTGGATGCGGTCAAGTGGAAGGAGCTGGCACTGGGGAGCCCCTGCCCAGAGATGGGAACAGTATTCCATGTGAGGCCGAACCTGCGCCTTGTAAAGTTGCAGGCGGTGTGCCGGCATGAAATACTGTCCCGCTCTGCTGAGCACGCCAAGCTTTTTAGAGGCCAATTTGGCCTTCTCTTCCAAGTGACCACGAAACTGCACGTCACTCGATATGTCGACTCCGAGGATACCGATACTGGCTGAGGCAAGAAGGGGAGTGCCTTGAAACTGAGGAGATACGACAAAGGGGTTCTTTTTAGCGGTAAACGCGCAAACTTGTGTCTTCTGAGGATTAAACTGGACTAGATTTAGTCGCCCCCAATCCGAGACTTTGTCCAGCAAAGACTCGACTTCAGACACAAGTTTGTTCCGGTACTCGGCGACGTTTTCCCGAGAAATATTGGCCCGGCCGGTGTATAGAGCATCACCAGTGCTGTCATCCGCATAGCAATGAATGTTACCAGTTAGCAACATATCATTGATATGCAGAAGAAACAGCGTTGGTGATAGCACACAGCCTTGTGGAACACCAGCGTTAATAGGCTTGTAGTCAGAACATGCACCGTCTACAACGACCTTGATGCTCCGATCTGCAAGAAAGCTGGTGATCCAATTGCACAATTTCTCGGGAAGCCCATAGGAAGGCAGCTTTGAAAGAAGCGCTTTGTGCCAAACCCGATCAAAGGCCTTCGCAATGTCCAGACTAACGGCCAACGCCTCCCCCTTGGACTCTACTGCCTCCGCCCATCTATGGGTCAGGTAGACAAGAAGATCACCAGCTGATCGACACCGACGAAAACCGTATTGGCGGTCACTAATCAGCTGGTGATCCTCAAGGTACCGGATGAGCTGGCAGTTAATAATGGATTCCATTATTTTGGAGAACAAGGAGGTGATCGCGATAGGCCTATAGTTGGACGGGTCTGAGCGGTCGCCTTTTTTAGGGATCGGGTGGACAAAAGCTGTCTTCCATGAATTCGGGACTACGCCTTGGGAGTAGGAGTACCGGAAAAGACGCGTAACCATTGGGTGTTAAAAGTTTACTCGGGAATGATGGGTCTCTTATTTTGTTGTTATAAAGGTTATTTATTAGTTTCCACATCTTTTTAGGGTTGCTCTTGCAGTCGTTGAAAGCTTTTGAATAATATTTAGTTTTGGTTTTATGAATGGTTCTTGATACTTCGTTTCTTTCTTTGGTGAATGCTTCTTCTAGTAATCTGTCTTCTCGATTCTTCTTAAATTTGTTCCATATTTTATTTCGAATGTTTATGCTATCTATAATTTTCCTGTTGATCCAGTCTTGGCGGGGTGGGTTAAGAATTTTAGTCTTTGTGAGTCTACTATTGCTGACGCAAGAATTCAGCTTCTCTTCAAGTAGTTCATATGATTTATTACCAGTATCTGTGCAGTTTCCCATAGTTTTATATAGTTGTTCGTAATTGATAGCTTCATATCTAACTCTTCGCAGTGGTTCAGGCCGGTATTTCTGTATTTCGAAGTATATTTGCTTGTGGTCAGACATGGGGGTTTCAATTATGATGAAATTGAATCTGTGTTTTTTAAGGTTTGAGCAAACATGATCTATTATTGATTTCGTTGATATTGTTTCACGTGTACAGAATTTTTCATCTATTTTATTTATTATATCGTAACCATTCTCCTCTAACACATCTTTGTAGTTATTAGTTGCCTGTTGCTGACTCAGTAAATTAATGTTGAAGTCTCCAATCACAACAACTCTGTTTCTTTTATGCAATTTCATGGAATAAAAGTCCAAGAAGTTTTTTAAATTTGAAGCGTCTGGTTTCCGATATACTGCACCGATATCAAGACAATAGTGGTCAAGATGAATCCAAAGGTAGTGATTATCACCT